CTAGTTAAATTGTGTTTATTAAGTATCGACGATAATGCGCTAGAAGACATTTTGATCTACAATAAACATTCATATATCTAGTATAAGCAAACTTGCATAAACATTTAGTAATCAAACATATATACATGTTATAATGCAACAAATATGTTTGTGTGTCAAAACCTTGAAAAAATCACAACCTCACAACGATAATTCCAAACTCAAAATTTTGTAAGTCTCCTAGGGGTGATCATGTAAAATTTAATTTGGAACACGGATCCCTTCCGATCAATATATACCATCCGAATCAATCTCTGTCCAGTATATATTGATAATCGTTTTCTTTGGCCATTAATTTAATTAGCAGAGCTCATAGGGGAGATTAGTAATTAAATTAATCTTGAGTGTATAACCATCGTTTCAACTATTTGATCCATATTTTACAATTGTCACCTAGGGGTGTACAACCATAAAATATGCTCAAATAAATTATCCACTCGGAGATCCACACCGGTACATAATGTATCCCTTCCTAGGGATCGGTATCACCATGTGTTACCTGCGAACCAACAATGGAGGCCATGGGTCTTTTCTTCAAAAAAAAACCCTCACCCACTCAATCTTTTGGAAAAACAAGGTTTTATGTTAAGAAATATGCATGAACAATTTTAATGAGCGGCACTCCCTATTCTACATGTCATGTTATCACATATATAGCAAATCATATTATATGCAATCATACAAAGCAATTAAGCTAGGCAACAAGCATAATAAAAATAACTGTAATATTATGGTTCCATCTTAGAGAAAAGAAAAAATAAAGATTACTAAGAATAATCGAAACATATATCGATTCTTCATCTTGAATCTTCCCGGTTGTCCTTGAATTCTTCATCACGATCAGATTCTGGTTATCATAAAATTATTTTTCATGTTTTCTTGAAAAAATCTCAAAAAACTGCAAAATCGTATACTGTCACTTTAGGTCCGGTCGACCGGTGACAGAGCAGTTATACTCAACTAGTCGACTGCCTTACACTAACCGGTCGACCGGAGAGGTCGACCGGTGCCTGTGCGACAGTAACCCAGATTTTCAGAAATCAAAGCAGTTTTTCAATTTACTCAAAAAACACAAAACAATTTTATAAACCAAGGAAAATTAGATACCTGCATATCCTTCATCTTCAAGATCCATCTTCAAGATCCTTGATAAATCTCCTCCAAAAATTTTTACATAAAAATTCCTATACCGTTTTCCGGTTTACAAAATTTCTAATAAAGAAAATAAAATAAACCCTAACGGCGATGATAGGCCGCTTATCTAATTACATTGTAATTAACAAATTCCTATACAGGAACCAACAGGTAAAAATTAAATAATGAATAATCATTGATAATTTATAAATAATAATCAATAATAATTATTTAATAATTCATTCACCATATTTCATGATAACAACATAATATAGAAACCCTAGAGTGCCATCTCTCTAAAATATCAATTCAAGCATAAAAGAGATATTTTTAGATCACAAATCTATGTACATAGCATAATCATGAACAAATAACCATGGCTCTGATACCAATTGTTGGAAAATAATGGCATCGAGTGCGCAGCGGAATTTTAAAAAATTTGGAATTTAAAAATTTTAATCAACGTCAAAACCAAACAAGAACATGTTCATGATGCTATATAACATAAATACTAAAGATCTAAAACATACCTTTTGAGATTTCAGGAAACTGCAC